ACAAATTGCGAACAATGTTGGCGCTTAATGGTACCGTTAGAACACAGGGCTCGGATGAAGCGAGACGCGCACTGCGAGCCATCGGCAGGACATTTCGGTAGGGTCAAAACGTATGATAGTGTTGCAAGGGAGTACTCCTGGCGTGGGATGTATCACGATATCACGGAGTTTGTACTATCGTATGAAGTATGCCAGAAGTACAAGATTGAACAGAAGCTACCGATAGGATTAATGAGCAAACGTGTAGTCGAACGACCATGGCTAGTGGTAGCGGCGGATGTAATCGAGCTGCCAAGAAGTAAGAATACGTTTAAATAATTAGTCATATTTCAGGATTTATTTACTAAATATGTAGAGTTTAAGCCTCTCGTGTCGGCTACGGGAAAAGCTCTTGCACAAACTCTCGAGGAACTTATTTTATTTAGATGGGAGATTCCGATTTACTTAGTCATGGATAATGGAAAGAATTTTTGTGGAAACGAATTTCGAGCGACGTTAGACGAGTACAAAATCACCTGTTCACTCTGTCCGCCATACCATCAGCAGGCGAACTTCGCCGAACGAGCGATCAAGATGCTAAAGCTGATGGTGAGTTGAGCGAATCCGCTCCTACATATCATCGACTTGTCGCGTATAATAGTTGAGCGAATACGCTCCTAACCGCTGCCTACTGTCACGGTTTCATGGTGTAAGCGAGCGCGATCACCATCTTAATTTGTAAGAATCCGTATATGTATCATTTCGATGGCGTAAATAAAGAGATCGCTTTTTGTAATTATTTCGACTTCTTCCCTTCACCTTCCTTGTCATCGCGGTAGATTCGCGCCCGTGGAATTCAGCGCCGGCTTCCTTGACCGAAATAGGACCCTTTAATAAATCGTAGGGGGTACTTTAATAATGCTGTGATACATATTTCCCTGTCGTTAAAGTAACTTTTCGGAGTCCATAGATATTCTTTGAGCATTTTCTTCTTTTTATTTCGATAAGCAGTCTCGGCTACCATACGGCGTCGAATGCTCCTCAGATGTCTAGTGGAATAGTCACGACGTATTCGAAGCTTTTGCCAGATTCTACTTTTTCCATAATCTCTCGTAGACGAGAAATCGCATTCTCTGTGGATTTTCCAGATCTAAATCCGTACTAATCCAACGAAGCACATTCATCTCTCTTTATAACATTTGTCATATGACTTATCATTATAGATAACAAGCGGGGATTTCATTATCAGACTCTCTGATTTATTAGAGCCTTTCAATACTGTAGTTAGTTTTTCAGTCTTTTACCTGCTTGGGAACACTACAATAGCTAAGTAGGCTATCAAAAATCTTGTTAACTCTGGCTGTAATGGACTAGCCTTTACCAGCATTATTGCTTCTATCCTATCTGCCCCTGGATTTTTCTTGGTTTTAGTAGCTCGTAGAGCTTCTCTAACTTCTCTGAGTATGAACAGCGGTGCTCGTCGGCCTCTGAGGCTTAGTGCATGCGTCTTTTTACCTCCGCATGCGCTATTCATGTCGACCTTTAGGACTAGCACATTCAATAGGACGCTGCTGATTTCGGTCGGTGGTTACTCCATTGAAACTTACTGTGCATATGGCTTTCGTCATAATAATCTTATTTGCCGCCTGTTTTTATGGCAAGGAGCAGCTATTTTTTTTGCTTTTTATGGTGCAGAAATTTTGCCAGCTTTCACATTTCCGGCGTTTTACTGTCTTTGAATAGTCTAACAAGTAAGTTCAATCTTTTCAGACTTTTGTCTAATTTCTTATGAATCCATTGTTGTTATTCATTATTATTATTATTAATCCGTTATTCTGTCAGGGGTATCTACGATATATTTGAGAACTAGGTCCCATTGCCTTTTGATTGCTTTCCTTTACTTAAAGATAATTAAGTTACATGTTCGATCTTACGTGATGACCTTACATGTATTACATGTATTTGTCAAAGATGCATCCCACCAGGTATGAGATTTTTTATATCTCACTTTTGGCGGGATAGATCTGCTCCCCGGAGGGTCATTTCCAAGGTCAGTTGAAGGTTGACCTTGCGTTACTCGGAGTAGCTTGCTTTTTTTATCACGGATTCGGAAATAACGAAGAATTCCATTTTCAGAAAACATCACATGTAATGTCTAGTTGACCCCTCAAGGTGATATGAAGCTCAATTTTTTTCATAGGAATCGCTATTCTTCACCTCGGATTCGGAAAGTAGGGACATTCTGTCGATGTTACGGTATAATGTGTATTCAATTCTTTATGCTTATTTAAAGGTCAAAGTAAATTTTTCAATAAAAACGATTATTTTTGCTTCTGATTTGAACGGAGTGACAAATTTAATGTCAAGATGAATGATAATTAATAATAAGCATTTCTTCAAGGCTCTTAAAAAAGTCGTTGGGCATTTTTTATATCTGTAAGTTTAAAGTATTCACAAATCTATACCACTATTTAGTGTAATATTTCAAATACGAGGTCTGTTCGGAAAGTATCGGGCCTACGTTTATATCTTCGCGCCATAGTGTTCGAGCGACCTCTACCGGACAGAAACGTCACCAGTAAAGCCTCACGAATCTATTGGTTACTTACTGACACCTGCCGGACGTATAGTTCATGCGCAGCGTGTCTTTGTTTACAGTGCCTTTTTTGCGTTCGTCGGATTTTGATATTGTCAAAAATGACTGAAAAACAAGATCAACGAATTTTGCTTTCGGAAACTATTGAAATGATGCAAAAGGCCTTCGGAAGCAAGTGTATGAGCAAAACACGAATAAAAGAGTGGTATAAACGGTTGAAGGATGGTCGCACTTCTGTCAATAGTGATTATCGTTCTGACCGACCTTCGACGATAAAAACTGCAGATAATATTGAGCGGGCACGACTTGCAATCAAACAAGATAGTCGTATGACTGTGCGAGAACTAGAAGAAGACCTTGGAATACCAAAAGCTATCATTTCAGAAATTTTAACCGAAAATTTAGAAATGAAACGCGTGTGTGCGCAATTCATCCCAAAATTGCTCACAACACAGCAGAAGAACATTCGCTTAGAAATCGCTCTGGACAATTTGGAAATGGTCAATAATGATGATAATGTGCTTAGAAAAGTTATTACAGGTGATGAATCATGGGTTTATGGTTATGATCCTGAAACAAAACAACAATCTTCACAGCATTCTGAATCCTCAAGACCAAAAAAAGCACGTCAAGGTCGGAGCAATGTTAAGTCAATGTTGATTGTTTTTTTCGATTGTGAAGGTGTTGTACATTACGAATATGCATCAATAGGTCAGACAATCAATAAAGAATACTACGTTCAAATTTTGAAACGTTTGCGTGATGCAGTAAGAAGAAAACGGCCGCACTTTTGGGAAAGTGGCTTCTCCATCACGATAATGCGCCAGCGCAATCGTCCAATCTTGTGCACCAGTTTTTGAGCAAACACAATATCTAATTGCTTCGATAACCTCCATACAGTCCCGACATAGCTCCTTGTGACTTTTGGCTGTTTTCAAAACTAAAAAAACCGCTCAAAGGACACCGATTCGATGACCAAACAGCCGTTGAAAACAATGCGACCAGTGTACTTAAGGCTATCCCTAAAAGTGAGTTCCAGGACTGTTTTGAAAAGTGGAAACATCGATGGAACCATGTTATTCAATCAAGTGGGGATTACTTTGAAGGATGCCACCCACCAATTAGTAAAGGAATTAACAAACGGTATACGGAAACATTGGGGCGGAAAGGAAAAGAGCAGGTTCAGAGGTCCTAAAAAAATAGTAGAAAAATCATGAACACCTTAAAAATAAAAAAAGAAACGATTTTTTAAAGATGTTTACCTTTATATCCATGTATTAATAGTTGGATGCTTAGCAACATAATTTGGAAATTTCATTTGCAGTGAAAACATTAGATTTTTTCGGAACATAATCTGCATGTAACGCTTTTAAAATTCCAATAAACTTTTTATAATTTCCTAAATCGATTTCATCAAACTTATTTACTTTTGATCTTAACTCTGAATATCTGATCATAAGTCGGTGACAATAGTTTTTCGGATAAGTCGTTGAACACGATGAAAACTGCTTCTTCAAAAGATAATGTTCCTTTTGATTCACGCCACGTTTTGAAATTATTATACTCTTTGGTATATTCTTATTTTGATTTTTTAGGTAGCTAGTCCGTAGAAATTATTTTTGATTTTTCCAATAGTTTCAGAGGTACCTCATTGGTACAATTAGAATCAGAGTCTCTGCTGTTGACACTGCTGTTGTTTATTTTCACGATTTATGTATCACTAAATTACTAAATAATATATTTTTTCTATTACTATCAAACAAATATTCAAAAGCTCTGTTTTTCAAATGCAAAGCTTATTCCAACACAAGAAGCGAAAAATGACTGAATGTGCTCAGACAAGAATCTTAAAGAAAGTGTCATAAGTAAATTTTTCAAGAAAAGAGGAAAAAACTGGAAAATGCCAGATTCGGTAGCAAACAAGAAAAGCAATAAAAGTAAGCACCTGTTTGACACATTGTGGTTATCTGCTATCGGAAAAGTGCAGCATATTTCACCTTTTTTGAATATTTATGACGGCCATCTATATCGGCCAGACCTTCTTTTACACGCCCTTTTTTAGGGCCTAGGCATTACATTTAGGATTTTGCGATCTCTGTAGAGGACGCGAAATATCATTTTGCAGCTTCTAATTTCACTTCTCACAATATCAAACGATCTATTTGCTAGAAAGCGATTTTTAAATGCTGCTGTTTTCACAAATGGCTTAAAGAATAATATGATGCTTCCAATAAATTGATGTCTTACAAATAATACTATAAAATTTTATTGATGTTGAATTCCACTATGACTAAAATTGATTTTTCATGATAGAGTGAATGTAAGTTATTCTTTCTATTTTTTTTCCCCGAAATTTTAATTAAATATAGTTATTTCAAATAATTATATTTACAATACAATAGTTATAATATTGATAATTTTCCAGATTCTAGTAAATTACTTCAAGATGACTTATCAGATTATCATAGGCAAAAAAATGAACTAGATTTCGATGGCGATAAAAAGAAAGTGAACCATTTTAAAAATAAATTTGATAAGTGTATTATGTCACTTTATTCACGATCTTCATCTACATCTTCATCGTGTTCAAAAAGTAGTATCAAATCGAATTCGAATCAAAACGGATCAATAACTCCTGACAATACATTTTCAGAATCCGATAATGGAAAAATAAACGAATCACTAGATGACATATGCAAACATGAATACGAATCTTTCAGTTCTCTTTATGGCTCACATTCGCTAACAATTTCAAAAAATATGAAAGAAGATTTAGCAACTCCAGAAAATTTGTGCATTCGTAAATCACCTAATATCGCTGCAAATTGCGAAAATCAAGCAAATGTTCATTCTCTTAATCAAGGACTTATGAGGCATATTGCAACAAATTCTTTGGTATGTTTTCGATACTTATATATAATCATATATTTATTTTGGTATTAAATCTTTCAGTGAAAATGTAAATTATACGTGCCCTGTGGAAGAAAAATGATCGGAATAGTTAAGAAAATATACAATCACTAATCGGTTAAATAATGAAATGCCATTTCCAAAATGTATTTTACTTTGAAGAGATACATTCAAAAATATATACGCATAAGCCTCACTAAATAAGTCAATTTATACTCAGATGAGCAAAATTTTCAGTTTTTTATCTAACATGTTTGAGATATAGTATTTTTCGAAATAAACTACATGATCATTGTATACAACGCTTTCCTTCTAGCACAACATAAATGTGAATGCGTCGGGTATTACTTTATATAAAACTTTTCCCGATTATGCATGTGTACTGCCATCTGTACGTATGCAGGAATCACCTGTCTTTCGTACTTCTTGTGTAATGTACTAATATCACTCATCAATTAAATTAAATTTATTTAGAGAATGATTATTATTCTTATATTTTTATTGGTGCTGCTAACTAATAACTATCTTTCTTTTTCACAACTTTTAAAATAACTTATACTAACTTTAATTTCCAATATTAAAATTTTTGTCTACTAAATTCTTATACTAATTTAGTTATCAATGTGAAATTGTTAAATCAATTCTATATAGAAAAAAAAAATTTTTTTATAAATACTATTTGTCAATCTGACATATTTTCATAAAGTTAAATCAGATCATTAATATCTTGTAACCGCTGAGACTAAGATAAATATAAACCATTTAAAAAAAAATTTCCGTAATGTACTGATATTTAATTCTATCCCGTCGCGCTGTTCGTTCGCCATTGTGCGCTAGCAATATAATCGAAGGTGAGTAACGAGGTATAGATTATTATAATTAATTATATATTATGCAACGATTACCGAAAATCGTCAGACTCGCGCGAGGTTAATGAGCGGCTAAACGAGAGGAGCCGCGTTCGGTTCGCGAGAGAGAGAGAGCGCGTAGGGGCAATGACCGGGAGGGGAGGCTCCGACCGGCAGTATGACTGTGTCACTCAGTCAGTGCGTTGTCCTAACCTCCGTTTTCCCGAGCCGTTCAAGTTTACGTGTGGTGGTGCGAACTTAGAGGTGACTTTGCGAACTTGCGTGCGGTGTGCTAACAGCAGCAGCAGCAGTAGCAGTAGCAGCAACTGCAGTAGCAGCAACAGCCGCAGCAGCAATAGCAACAACAGTAGTAGCAGCAACAACAACAGCGGCAACAGTAATCGCGGCGGTGCAGCGAGCAGCGAAGCGGCGTTCTAGCGATTTGTTGTTCGGATACGGTTGGCCACCGTATCCTCATCGTTCCCGCGGTAGGTGCACCTCCCCTTGTTTTATTGTTGTAATTGGCGTGCGATCCCGCGCAGCGTGCGCGCGGAAATTAGTTGTTACATGCGAGCGGTTAGTTCGCGGTAGTCGCGGTTTTCTCTCTCTCTCTCATACGGCGTGCATTGTCATTCGCGCAAGCGTGCGCAAGACTCTCGGCAAAATCCCCGTGTAATTAACTTGCATGAATAAAGTGAACGTTAGCCTTTATTTGATCGCGTAATCATTATTGTGTCTTTCCTTTGTCCGGAGGTCGCGTCAGTGTTTGTTTACAGTAGATTCGAATTCGCCGGTTGCGTAGCACGAATCGTGCGAATACCGGTAGACGCGAATCGACAACCTAGGTTCCAGCGGCGGCCGCACGAGCGCTACTAGCAAGGGGCGACAGCGCCGCCAAGCGGGGAGTTGGAGGAACCCAACTCGGAATAGTAAGGAGACTCTGCGCAGGCGCACTCCGAGACAAGGTAGGTTGCTGTGCTTCGAGCACAGAGATAACAAGGCTTCGTCTAGTCGTAATAAAGGCACTTTCAAGAGATTATCGACTAAATGGCAGCCTGTTACAATTAATTAATATATTAATTATATAATTAATTAGGTTTATTCTTTGATCAAAACCACCTACCTTTCTCTCACATTTTACCTTTTATTTTTAGTTGTGATCGCGAAAATAGAGCAGTTTCTGACCTCGGAGCAAGTTAAAAAGTTATCGCATTTTTCGCGACTTCTTAGATAACTGAGTCGTCTCATGTTCGCGATACTCCGAGAAAAATAAAAATGTCAATTAAAATTCCGTTTTGCTAAAATCTATTCGTATTCCATGGGAGAGGAGTTGCTGACACGAGTTAGACAAATCCACCTCTACACAATGTGAAGCAAGAATAAAGAATAAGCTGTTTTAACTGTACCGACATTTTAGATCATACCCGCTCACTCCATTCGGAAAACGCTGAAACTGTACGCTTGTTAGAATCGATAGGCGCCTGTAATTTTTTTTCATACATTTTCAGACTTGAATTCTCGACTACTGTTGCAACTTGAGTAAAGTAGTTTGACGCCCGTTAAATAAGTCAGGGAAACGAATTACTTGGAGTAAGCAGTTTCTTAAAATTTTAATAGCGAATTAAAATCTCAATGAAAGTAAATCCTCTTCACTGCCCAGTCAAAATTTGAGTTGTTTTCGTCAAATCGCCATATGTATATACATCGGCAAATACATGAAAAGATAAATACAGAAAGCATTTTTCAATAGTTAAGCGTGGGAATTGCTCGATAATGGTTTAGCGATGTTTTACTGGAATTGCAGAAGACGATTTGGAAAAAATTGATAGGATTATGGTTGAAATACTCGTATCACGTTATTTTAGTGTCCAATTCGTGGACTCGACTCTATCACAGAAAAGCACTTGTTAAAATTTATGGAAAAGAAATTATTCCCTCTTTCTTATATTAAGCACGCACCTTGCATATCAAGTCGGAAGATGAGTTTGATAATTTCCTTGATTTAATTGGTATTGCTCGTTGAAGAAATAGGCGCTCTGCCTATTCCTGCGGAGTTTAGTCCCTAGCTGACTTTCGTCTAGTCAAGCAAAGGGATTGAGATTTTGTCAGAGTCTTCGTCCCGTTAGAGTCTCAGCACAGTGCAGATATCCGCAGGGATTTCTAAGGTCCGATCAGTTAGAAGGACCAAACGAGAGTGTCTTGCCAAGCTCGCAATAAAAGTGGAAAAAGTAATTAGACAATTGCAAACATGTTGAGAATAGCAAGAACTACCGTTAATTAAGTTAGTTCGAACTTACTTAAGTAACTTCTTAAAGTTTCGAGAAACAGAAATCGTAAGGAATAAAAAAATCACCGGTAGACCAAGCTAAACGACTAAATCAGGAAATAATTATATCGTGCGACTTAGTATTAGAAATCAACGTCTTACTGTTCCTCAATTGTGTCCTGAAATCAAGGAATACAGTGATAATAAAATAAGTGTTTCTACAGTAAAACGGCGACTAGTTGATAAAAGTCTATCAGGAAGAGTTGTGAAAAAAAACTCTTTTGAGAAAAAAGACTTCAGTGAGCTAAAACGCATAGAAATTGAAAAAGCATTAGTCAGTGGAAGAATGTCCTATGGAGTGAGGAATCCATATTTGAAATTTTTGGCTCCAAATGTCGATTCAAATTCGGATCTACGTGCGACGACGAGTAAATGGAAAGTTCTCAAAGGAATGTATCGTACCATTTGTGAAACATGGAAATGGTTCTGCACTGATCTGGGGACATTCGGGGGATCAAAAGTAGGCGAACTCATTAAAAAAATAGCATTTTGAAAAAACAACAGTACGAACGAATTTTGCAGAAAAAGAACCCAGCCGGGCAAGAATGTCAAAAATGCCCCTCGCGGAATCGTAATTCTGACTTGAGGGATCTTTCGGTTATCAAAAATTATGACCTCAGTCAAATTTTCAGGTTCCTAACACAACAAGGGGCAAGATTGGACGCCATTTTGTCTAAAATGATTTTTTGTCAATATCTTGGTCAATTTTAGAGCTACGAAAAAATTGTTTTCTTCATTTTATAGGATTTTTTAAGGGCTACAAACCTGTTCTATTCAAAAAATTTTTGGCGCGAAATTCGAATTTTGGCGGCCATTTAAAAATTTGAATTTGCCGCCATTTTTTTTGGACATACCTGCAATTCTAAAAAAAATGTTATTGGGTTTCTTTTATCAAAAGAATATGCCTGATTTTTTTCAGATTTTTTCAAGTGGTAGAACAGGGTCAAAAATATTAAAAACCGTTTTTTTCCATTTTTTGAGCCTCTATAAGGTCACCAAAACTCTATATTTATATTTCTAAGCCATTTTCAAATAAATATCGACGTACTCAAACTTCTCTCTTTCCTATTAACCGTTCAAATAGGTTAAAACAATAAAAATTGCAATTTCTAAGAACTTTTTCCGTATTTACAAGCCCGCCATTAGAGTACTGATTTTATGCTAACAAGTATCACCGTACTTTTATTTCAAACTCTAATTATCTCCTACTAGTTTTTCATGATTTCACTCAATAGATTTCGTTTAAGTATTATCCAACTTTATTTTGATGTATAAATATATGAATATATAAATAAATACACGAATTTCCAATAATTATTGTATTTTAATCAAGCAAATGGAGTACAGTAATTGGGTAACCATTTGCGTCGACTAGAGCAATATATTTTAATTTTTAAAACTATTTAAAGTATATATAGATGAAATAAAGAATAAACAATATATAATACAAAAATAAAATTGAATATCAATATCTTTCGTATGCTATTAATCTTCGTCACTATCATCATTAATGACTGGTGTAACCTTTTCAATGGCAAAAATGGAACTCAAAATTTTAGCTGGCCTAAGTGTTCGCCCAATATATCTTCCTCGCGATAAGTAATATATAATAGCAGTAACGTGAGCGCAACAGCCAATGGTGCGATTGCCATTAGCGCACTGCCAACAATACCTCAGGATTCCTTCATAATTATTTGTATTTGGACGGTAATGCAAGAAACAGTTGTAGGTGTTTTTATTGACATGCCAGATTTTACTTTGAATTTTAAAATATTTTTTTTGCTATCAAATAATAAGCATCAAGTTCGCCT